TCTTGTTTTTGCAAAAAAAAAAAAAACAGAATTTGGTGCGGGTCCAAATGAATTTTGATAAGTTCAATATTTTGAAGAAATAATTTGGAACAGTCGTTTGGGAAAACATTTCAAATGGCAGAGAAGTTGCGTTGCGAAATGCACTTTACAGCGATGCCGCGACAAAAGCGTAGTTTGCAAAAAAAGAAAAAATCCTGAGTTGAAAAAGGAGCTTATTTTTTTTCCAAACATTTCAACTAAGCAATTTTAAAGTCTTGAGCTGTCTTGAGGAAAATCGCAAAAACAACCACCCCAGACATGAAAGCCGTGTAAGTACTATGAAGTACCTTCAGTATCAACAATTTCGCAGGTCTGAAATAGCGCATCAAAATTTCTTCCAAAACTTGTGCCCCAAAATCACTGTATTTTTTCTCATTCATCTAACCCTCGTAGATTCAAGTATATAAAAACTATTGAACGCCACTTATTAGTAACCAAAAGGAAGGGGACAGTTAACCAGACCGCTCACTTAGTACAAGAACAAAGATGGAAAGAGAGTCAGAAATAAAAGAGGATTAAGACAGAAGAGTAAGTTACACATAAAAAAGTAGAGTGATTACTATCTATCAAAACTTTAGTTTTCTTGAGGTACTACAATTTGATGCACAAGAAAAATATTTGAGTTGTTTTTGAGGCGAGAATTCGATTGTGGTAACACTGGGAGCCAACTTGGAACTATCCGCTCAAAGGGCTGAAGAAATGGAACCAGTTATCGCAAAATCGAAGATCATGCTCTGCCAATATGAGATCAAATTCCCCGCTTTAAAAAAGGCGTTAGAAGTTGCGAAAAGGAATAATGGTGAAGTTTTAATGCTTTGTTGAAGCTGTAAACAACACCAAATAATATCAAAACTAATCAAGGAAACACTTTTGCGATCACTTCTAGTGGAAGTTAGCATTCTATACTGTACTATAACTATTAAACTGAAAAATGCAATGTTATTCTAGAAGTTTGCGTAATAATGCCTAAGGTGGGTTATAAACACTTAACCATTACAGATGGAACTTGAATTATGGATATATTTGGGTGGAATTTCCCCGTTAAACACTATGCATTTATGTTGTCATAATTAAACGAGCCATCTGTCTAACTCTGACTCACTTTTTCAGTGAAAACCTTCTTTAACTTTGCTCCTGGTGTGCCAGATTTTGACAAAGATGTGTTGAAACTCGTAGATTACCTATGTACTAACGAAAATGAGGTACAGCCATATTAGCCCGTCACAGCACTTTAAGAAGTATAGGACTTAGAGTTTGGAAAAACTAAAAAGTGTGATTAATCAAGTCAACTTTTTAGTTTAACAAGCCACATTTTGCTCTAATAATAAAACTTTAGGAGAGACAGACACTGTCGTTGAAATGAGCAAAAAGTACCAATAACGGTTTCTCGCACTTCTATTTAATGTGCCACACTAATTATTTAGACAGAATTTTTGTCTGGAATGGAAGTACATAGCATAGACGATGCCAAAAAAGCTGCAAAGTATCTTCTTGGTTTTGTCACCACAGCCGTTGTCGTTACATTGGGAGGGAAAGGAGCCGTTTTAGCTACACCAAATGAAGTCAAATATATACCCGCTAAACCGGTAAAAGCTGTTGATACAACGGTAACATTTTCTTCATCTTTACGATTATGCAGTCGATAGCTTACTGCTGTAGCTTAAAAATTGCGAATTAAAACACTGAAATCTTCCAGATTGTTTAGGATTAAGTGTAAGCCCAATGTATTCATCTTCCAAGCGTAAATGTATTAATTTTCAGGGTGCTGGAGACAGTTTTTGCGGAGCTTTAGCCTATTTACTAGTATACAAACCGGAGCTACCTTTAGAAGAACAAGTACAAAGAGCCTGCTTTGTGGCATCAATTTCAGTGCAAAGCAAAGGGACTCAAACTTCTTATCCGTATGCAAAAGATTTACCTGAGGAATGGTTGAGATGAGTCCCAAACCAATCATTTAGAAAAAATAAAAGGATACGAATAACTGTCATACTGTCATACACATGTCGTACTTGGACAGTGTACTACAAACCAATGACATATAAATACAAAATAATGTAGCTTTTGATAAAACAGTTGCTAATAATCATGAAGCTTAAAAAGTCAACACAGATTAGATGACACTTTTGTTAGAATTCAGCGCAATATCCTGCTTATAGGCCAACGAATTATTTACCTGAAACATTCATGTTTTGGAATTCATAACAACTTGAGACCCAGAAGCTTCTCCAACTCCTTCACTGCTCCCAAAGTATCGGTACCATGAACCTAAGAAAAAATTCAAGCGCATTTGTGACACTCTGCAAAAAATAGAAACTGCACGAAAGTTAGCTCGAGGAGCAGTGCGTTTTTATTAATACTAACAGTTAGTAAATCACAGGTATTCGCGAATACTTAAACTCATTCTTGCAACCACATTAAAAGTTTCAAACTTAAAAACCCATATGAAATGAAATGACCAATTTTTCATGACCAAACAAATAGCGCATACACTAGACAAATTAGCTTTTTTTTCATAAAAAAGGTCCCGCAAATTAAACACTATCCTAAATTATTATGCCTCAAACTTAAAGAAATCAGAAAGAATCCTAATCAGATCCAAAATAAGTTACAACAGAAAAGTACCTGAATTGCAGTGATCCCAAATTTTCGTGCACCTTCACAGTTCTCTGGAAAGTCGTCGATGAAAATACATTCATTTAATTCTACTCCTAATCTTTTACAGGCTAACTGAAAAATATTAACTCTCACTTACATCAGGATTTGGTTGTAACATTGCTGAGAATTAAATGGATATGACAAGTCACATAAAACACCTAAATTGCAACTAGTTTTTCGCCAGTCTGTGCAAAAGTATATAAAGTATCCTGACTTCAAAACAGTCCTTATTTGGCTTTCTACAGCGATCGCGACAAGAAACAACAACGGCGTCAAATTTTTGAAGTACAGTCTCTGGGACATAAACCTCCGTTCTCGTTTCATCTCGAAACATATTGTTCGTTAACATACAAGTTTTCAATCCGGCATTTTTTAACTTTGGTAGTACTGCGGCAATGTACTTATCCTTAAATACTAATACGAACGAAAAAGTTTAAATGCTTCTTATCATCCTGAAGCAAATCTTTAAAAAACGTTGCATACCTCAACCATGTTGTCAAACAGAGAGAAGTAGGATTCGTTTTTCATGACTTCAAGAGTCTTCTGCTTAAAGTGTGGCTAAAAAACTTTTAGGAAATGAACTGCCAAGTAAACGGTAGACCGCAGAAGTAAATGCTATTTTGTTTTTTAGCAAAAGTAAATTTGAATGCAGGTTTAGGCTGCAAAGCCCTAAAACGGTATATTAAGCAAAATATAAATCACCAATAAATTTCAAAAAAAAAAAAAAAAAAAAAG